GCACAGCGCAGCGCGGGCGCCGGGGCGGCGGACGGGCCGTGCGCGCTGCGCGAGCTGAGCGTAGACCTGCGCGCCGAGCGCTCGGTGCTCATCCCCGAGACGTACCAGGCCAACAACTGCCAGGGCGCGTGCGGCTGGCCGCAGTCCGACCGCAACCCGCGCTACGGCAGCCACGTGGTGCTACTGCTCAAGATGCAGGCCCGCGGCGCCGCCCTGGCGCGCCCGCCCTGCTGCGTGCCCACGGCCTACGCCGGCAAGCTCCTCATCAGCCTGTCGGAGGAGCGCATCCGCGCGCACCACGTGCCCAACATGGTGGCCACCGAGTGCGGCTGCCGGTGACCCCCGCGCCGGCCGCCAGTGGCGTCCCCGCCCATATTTATTCAGACCCCAATCCTCGCCCCAATAAAGACCAGCAAACACTAGCTGATGTGTATGTGCGTTTGGGGACAGGCGGGGGCCTCGTCCTGGCCAGCTCTCCCCAGGCGCGGAGGGCAGCGTCATCCCCGACGGCGCCCACGGCCTCGACTCCTGCCCACACCCCGCATCCCAGCCGAGACCTACCATCTCCGCCATTCAGGCCCGGGCAGCTGCCAGCGTGGAGGCTCAAAGGAGCAGGCGACCCTGGGGCGGCAGCACTCAATTTATTTCGCTGAACCGCGGGGCCACCGACGGGGTTGGGGGGGGTCCCAGGATTGTGTCCCGGGACCCGGGCCTGGCTCAGTCCCGCCCTTTGCCCGCAGGGTGCTTCTGGCGTCGGGGAGGCCGGTCCGTGTCGGGGCGCCGCAGGGAGTCCCAGGCCTGACTCTTTTTGTGTCCCGGGTCTCGGGAGTCCTGCATCCAATGCCGATGGCCCCCTTCGCGCAGCTCCCAGCGCCGGGGTAGGGCTGCTCGGGGCTCCCTGGCGGCCGGTGGCTTCTCCTGCTTCGGGGGCCTCACCTCCTTCCGCGGCTTCTCCTTCCGCGGCCTTTCCTTTCGAGGCCTCTCCTCCTTGCGTGGAGGCTCCTTGGGCGCACGCTTTTCCCCAGCAGCCTTCTTTGCACTCTCCCGGCTTGCTGGAACCTCGGCCTTCTCCTCCTTCTCCACCTGGGGCGCCCGAGGTCCTGATGGGGGTGCCCAGGCCTTGGGCTTCGGGTGCAACTGCAAGGCCGGTGGTGTGAGGTGGTGGGGTCAGCGCACACCTGCCCTGCGTGGGGCTCAGGCCCCTTCCCCCAAGGGCCTGTGGTCCCTTAATGGAAGCACTTACCGGGGCTGACGCTGGCTCCGGGGCAGAGCTTGGAGGTACCCACGGCTCAGGGACAGGTGCAGGGGCCTCTGCCTCCCCAGCCACAGCATCTTGGAGGGGAGGGGAGTCAGCCCAGGCCGAGGCGCGCAGACCAAACCCGCCATCCCAGCCCTCCCCCCCCAGAGCTCCCTCTCCCCTCCCTCCCAGCCTCCAGAAGGGAAGGCTCCTGGCCTCCGCAGCTAAGGCGCCCCCTTCGCTCCAAATCTCTCTCATTCCAGTTGCAAAAGGGCTGGCCATGTTTCTCCACGGGCCACAGGAGCTCCCTGGCGCATACTACCCAGAGGGGGCTCACGGGGCCAGTCCTGGGGGGCAGAGCCCATGAGGGGTGAGGACCTGTTCAGGGAGGAGAGAGGCGCGCCAAGATCCGATCTGGGAGAGGGAGGGCCCCCGGAGAAGGTCCACGGTGGGGGAAGGGGGAGGAGGCGCTTTCCACCAAAGCCCGCACAGAGGGAGGGCCCAGGCCCAGTCCTGGGGGCGCACAAGGCCAGTGGCGGCACAGGGGTGCACAGTGGGGCAGTGAGGGGACTAAGGAGTCCTCCCAGAGTCCACACCAGGGAGAAGGGGACCAGCGGCGGGGGGGGGGGCAGATATATGAGACCCGCCCCTAGAGGGGAGGCACACAGATCCAATCCTTGGGGGCACAGGAGCTCCCCTGGGAGGGCGGGCGGGCGCCCAGGTGCAGCCACTCCTGGGGGGCGGGGGGCGGGGGCTCAGGCTCACCGCGGCACAGCTGGAAGGCCGAGCCCAGCAGCGCCACAAATGAGGCGAGCACCAGGCACTTGTTGAGTGACAGGTCTCCCCAGGGCAGCTCCTCGCTCGGGGCCGGGGCCGGGGGTGGTGAGGCCTGCACCTTCTTGCGCACGGGGCTCCGGGGCGCTGCGGGGAGCAAGGGCTGGGCTGGGTGTGGCCCCCAGGGGCTCAGCCCTGCCTGGGCTACGGCTCCGGCCAGGGAGCTAAGCCTGCGAGCTTCAGAGCTTCGCTGGGATGTGGAGAATACTCTAGAAGGCGATGAGCTGAAGCCTAGGAGCACCTTCCGCTGTGTTATCGTGAATCAGCGGAGGCTTCCAGCCCTGTTAGTTACCGCTGGAGACGCAGGGATAGAACCCAGCCAGCAGCCTCACTGCACCCTGTCCCCGCCCCCAGATCCAAGGACCCAGCCCAGGCCCTGCCCCACTTGCTGGGCCATACCCACTCCCCCACCTCACCCCTGCCTTCTGCAAACCTACTTGCTCCTGCTTTCAGCCTCTCTTTCCCGGGTCCTGGGGCCACTTTGGCCACGGGCTCCTTTTCTGTCTTCTTGGGCCTGGCATCCACACTGCTTGTGGGGCTGCCCTCAGCTTGAGAAACCTATGAGAAGTCGTGAGTGGCCCGGGGTGTTTCCTTCCCCTCTTTCCTCCAAGGGAACCCAGAGCCTTCCCATGGGGTGTAGAAAGCCACCCCCTTGGCCAGCGTGTCCCTGACTCCAGGGGCATCCCAGGCAGAAACCCCAGGGCCCCGGCTACTCACATGGGGCCAGCCGCTAGAGTCGGCCAGCCTGGGCATCGCTGTTGGAGGAGAAGAGGGAGAGTCAAGGTTGTGAGACCCCCCCCACACACCCCTAAGGCCCATCCCACCCTCTGCTGGGCTCTGCTGCCGGGGCGGGGGATCGCTCCCATTTTACAGATTAGAAAGCAAACAGGCTCAGGGGCAGTCCTGCCCCAAGGCACGCAGCACTTTGCTGGCAAGCTGGGATTTGAGTCCTGACCTGCGTGGCCCAGGACCTGTGTCCCTGGGGCTCCTTATAGATCCTCCAAGGCACTGATGGACACAGAGGGTGGAAACGAGGAGCACAGTTTGAGCCAGTTCAACGTGGGAGTCTTAGTCCTGGTCTCTGCCGGTTAGCTACCTGGCTCAACAGGAGGACGGGGGTGGGGGCTCCGTCCGGCCCGCACCCCTGTGGGTACCTTGAGCTCTGTCCTCCTGGGGCTGGTCAGGGCAGGGGTCAGCCAGTGTGGAGAGGTCCTCGCCTGCTTGGCAGCTGCCCAGGCCTCCATCCAGCTCCTGCAAGGCCCTGGTTGTCATGGAGACGTCTGAGCACCTCGGATCTGGGGCTGGGCAGGGGGAGGCCTGGAGAGGGGGCATCTTGGTCAGAGGCATCTTGCATTTGCTGAGCTCCTGCTGTGGGCCCGGGCCTGACCTGGGGGCGCCCCTTATACATGAATGAAGTGGCCCCCCGCCTCTCAGCTCAGCCTTTGCTGGTCCTTCTGCCTGGAACCTCCTTTGCGTGGCAGAGTCACCCTCGGGCGGGCGTGGCCCAGCTGCTCCCTCCAGCTGCCCCCCCCCCCGCCCTGGGGCCCAGAGAGGGCTGGGACCCACCCAAGGTCCCACGCAGATGAGCTAAGACAGCCCAGACCAGAACCCTTGGCCCCAGGGTCGGCTCAGGTTCTCTGAGACCAGGCACTATTTTTATCCAGTGCTGGAGGCCAGTGGAACAGGCAGAACTGCCGCCCGGCCCCTCCCAGGCTTTTGCCCCCCGCAGGGTCTCTGAACTGTCCTTGCGGGCTGGCCCTCATGGGCCGGCCGTTTCTGGCACCCAAGCCCCCAGCCCCTCAGTCCAGAAGCTCAGGCCGTAGCAGCCAGGACCGGCCTCACTCTGGCCACCACAGGCAGGAGCGGGGGGGCCCTGGGGCTTCCTGATCCCAGCGCTGGGGCCCCTGCCTCCTCCCACGGCCTCTACTCCCATAGGGCAGAGAGGGAAACTGAGTCTCCAGGGAGAGCCATCCACCAGAGGTCGTGGGCAGCTTGTGGTCAAACCCAGCTCTGCTGGCTTCCCACAGCCATGTTTTGGGGTCCCCATGCCCCTGGCTGCCGGCGTTAGCTTGTTCTGACATCTCTGGTCGGAAGAGTGACCCTTCCCCGGGGCTGGAGCAGGGCACTGCGCGAGGGGCCCAGATGGGCAGTGGGCAGTTGCCCTTAGGTATGTAGGGGGGCAGCCACAAGAGTCGGGGGCCCCCATGGACCTCAGAGATGCCCTCCCCAGACCCAAGGGACCCCCACCTCTGCCCAGGCCTCCCCCTGCCCCACTTACTCCACAGCCGCCACAGTGAGCCCGCTGGACAGATGGAGCCTGGGGAGGGTGGCCCCAAGACAGACAGCAACAGGTGTCTGGAGGCAGCAGTGTGGGCCAATCCGCTGAGCAGGCCGCAGCGGGAAGGGGAGGAGGGCCGCGGGGGGTACTGAGGCTGGGGCGGCCCCCACCCTTGCAGCAGGACCGGGCCTTGGCCAGAGGGTGACCCCACCCCCATTTCAGCACAGAGCCACTGGCCGGCTGGCTACGGCGGCCTGGGGATGTCGCTTCCTGTCTCTGAGCCTCAGAGAAGCGGTCCTGGAGGTGAGGGCACCCACAAAGGGTCACCTTGCTTTCTCTCTCGAATTCGGTCAGCAGGCCTATGAAGCCTGAAGGCGGCCGGGCTCCGCCGAGGTGAAGCCAACTGCCAACTGCCTCCCTGCACCCAGAGCAGCAGGGAGGTGGCCTGCGGGACCAGGGGCGTGAGGGAGGGCTCCCCGGGCTGGCCGGCGCGAGGCACCAGCTGAGAGGCCTGTTTCCTCGTCTAGAATCCGAATTCCGTAACCGTAACCACGGGCACAGCTGTGCTTCCAGGACCAGAGTCAGCTCCAGAATATTCTGTCACCACAAAAGCAACCCCCTCCCCAGCCCCCCGCCCCCTGAGCCCCCTTCCCGTCCGCGGATGAGCCTGTTCCGGACGTGTCACCCACGTGGACTCACACCCCGCGTGGCCTTCCGTGTCTGGCTCCCCCCCTGAGCGTTGTGGGCTCGGGGTCCGTCCCCGGGGCCGCACGTGTGGACGCCTCGCTCCTGTCCGCGGCCGCGGGACACTCCTGTGCGTGGGGGACACGCTGTGTTTATCTGTTCCTTGGCATCCGACAGGGCTGCGATTGGAGGGGAGAGGAAGTAATTTGGTCAACTACAGTGTCAGATCCTGTCTTTATAAGATATAAAATGTGGGTATTTTGTTCATCATGGGTTTTTATGCATTAATTTTTTTATTGTGGTAAATATATAGAACATGAAATATATCACTTTAATCTCTTCTAAGCACACAGCTCAGCGGCATGAAGCACATTCACACCGTCCTGCAA